GACATTAAAACGTGATTAAAATGAAATTAAGGAGTTTATAACATGGGGGAGGGAATTGGGACTTTAATCAGTAATTAACCCGAGAAAATTGTGCAACTGACATTAAAACACAATTAAAATGAAATTAAGGAGTTTATGACATGGGGGAAATTGAGACTTTACACAGTAATTAACCCGAGAAAATAGCGCAATTGATATTAAAATACGATATAGGAATTTATCACACAAGGGACAATTGTTTAAGTATAAACGGTGATCAACCCGTGATAACCCCACAACTGCGCTAGTGGTTTTCACACAACGGCAAGAAAAAACATGATTAAAGTGCCATTATCCTGTGAATAACCAGGCAAGAAACATTCATGGGATTTTTACAGGATAATGGCTCTTGCGTGTCAATCTCATTTTAATTGCGTTTGAATGTCAATTGCACGATTTCCATGGGTTAATTATTGTTTAAAGCCCCAATTTCCTCCTGTGTGATAAAGTCCTAAAATGAGATTAACACAAGAGCCATTATCCTGCGAAGAACCAGGGAATAAACAGCAAAAAGTCATTCATGGGAAAATCCCGTGAATGGGTGAGTCCCTGCTATTTCTTGCCTGGTTATTCACGGGATAATGGCCCTTTAACCCTGTCTCATCTCCACGTCGCCATGTGAAAACCATTAACGCAATTGTGGGGTTATCACGGTTCCTTCCAACTGTCCTGCATCCCCAGAAGGCAGGCCCTCCATTTTGTGGGGCCTGGTCCTCCTTGGCGGCGAGGGCCTCCCGGGCCTTTGCCAGGCGGCGGCGGCGGCTCCCGCGGAGGCGCCCCTCCGGCCGGGGCTGCAGTGCCCCCTCCGGGGCTGGGGGCGGCGCTGGGCCCGTCCTTCCCGGGGCCGGATGGCGCCTCTTGGCCGGGTCGGAGCCGCGCTTCCTCCTCGGCGACCAGGCCGGGCAGAGAGAGAGGGAGGCCGGCTCGAGGGGGCGCGGAGGAGCCCCTTTGTGTGGGCGCCAAAGAGCCTGCCGGAGCCGCGAGGGAGCCGGGCGCCCAGGGATGGTGCTGGCCCTGCCGCCTCCGCCTCCGGGGTAAGGGGCCGCCTGCCTCGGAGGAGAGCCGGGGGACCCCCTGGAAGATACGTCCGTGTGTGGGGCGCCCCCCACGGCCCTCCGCTGCCTCCCAAACCGCCTCAGGCGGCGTCTCCCCCTCCAAGGCTACGGGGACCCCGAGCCCCTCGCCTCAGCGCCCCGCTTTCCCCCTCACGGCTCACGGCCCCCTTCCCTCCATTTCCCCACACAGGATTTGCTCTGTTTCTCCTCCGCCATCGCCCCTCGTCTGTGCCCCAAATAACAGGCCCTTGGGGAGGAGGAGGACTCCTCATCGCCCGGGCGTCTTGTCATCATTATTACTATATTATTACTATTAATACTATTACTATTACTTGTCATCATTATTACTACATTATTACTATTACTACTACTACTACTACTATTATTATTATCATTTGGGAAGGGTGGAAGACTCCTTTCACCCCCTCTCTATCATACCACTGTTTATTCTGGATAAGTTGCCAGTTATCATCATCATCATCATCATTGTTTATTTGGAAAGAGAGGAGGACTCTTCCTCCATCATGCCATTATTTATTCTGGATAAGTTGCCAATTGTTGTTATTATTATCCTCATACTCCTCATTATTGTTTTTTGGAAAGGGGGGAAGATTTTTCCCCTCCAGCATATCACTGTTCATTCTGGATAAGTTGCCAGTTGTTGTCATCATCATCATCATCATCATCATCATGTTTATTTGGAAAAGGAGAAAGATTCTTCCCCTTCATCATACCATTGTTTATTCTGGATAAGTTGTCATTTAATATTGTTGTTGTTGTTGTTAGAGAAGGAGTGAGACTCCTTTCATCACCTCTCTATCATACCATGGTTTATTCTGGATAAGTTGCCAGTTGTTGTTGTTGTTATTATTATTATTATTATTATTCAGGAAGTGGGGGGAAGGCTGTCCTCTCCTTTTCTCTCCTTTCCTCTCTCTTTCATACCACCATTTATTATGGATAAGTTGCCTCTGGTTGCTCCATCTCACTCTAGCTGAGAGACCTCCTCAACCAGCACCTTCAGTTTTAAACAGTATTTTCCCATTTGTTGACTTCACCAATAAAATAATACCTTAGATGAGAATCTAGACTGTTGTTGTTGTGTGCCTTCAAGTCCTTTCCGACTTTTTATGGGGCTTTCTTGGCAAGATTTGTTCAGAGGAGGCTTGCCATTGCCTTCCCCTGAGGCTGAGAGAGTGTGAGTTGCCCAAGGTCAATGGTCTTATTCCTTTCACCTAGGTGTTGCCCTGTAGTGCATTCTTCTCTCTACAGTGATGAGGAAAGTCACTTCTTTTGATTATGAAAAAAATCCCACAGCCTCATATTCTTGCTTGAAGAATGGGTATAGTTTATCTTTCTTTGTTAGTGCACAGCTTTCCATTATGTTTCCAACCCACTCTGATGGCCGACAATTGGCTGCTCCCACTTTATCTTCCACTCCCTGCCCCCCAGAGTGGGCAAAAGTGTGCCATAGTTCTTGAATTTGTGCTAATTTAGCATCTTGCCTGTTGCCGTATTTACAGAACATTGGAAATTGGAACAGCACGCAGTATTTTAAAATGAGAACTGTGCTTCACCTATTGATTTTATTGGCTGGCTGGGTTAAAAGTGAGAAACAGTTTGAAACTAAATAAACAAAGATGCAACAGGTTACATTTGAAGAAAATGGGTGGAGAGGACTTCAGTTTCTTGGTCTTTTGTTCTGCTCCCAATTTAATTTTCAGATTTGTAGTCCGTCTGTTGAAAGGGTTTCAAGGAAGTTCTTGTTTTCACAGAGAATGTGCATCTTAAAAGGGAGGTTATGAGACAGCAAAGAAAGAAGCTGAAAGGGAATATAAACACATACAAGTATAATAGAACCTAAACATGAATGGAGACCGAATGTGGTGTAGTGGTTTGATTACTGGACTATGACTCTGGAGACCAGAGTCTGATTCCTCACTCAGCCATGGAAACTCACTGGCTGACTTTGGCTGAGTCACACACTCTCAGCCCCAGAAAACCCCATAGTAGGTTCCCTTTAGAGTCTCCATAAGTCAAGTGACTTGAAGGCACACAACAGCAACAACAACATGAATGATAATGAACTGGCAATCTCACTTATTCAGAGAAACTAAGGGCCTAAGCAGACTGCCAGAAATAGTGCACATTAAATTGAGGCACTGCCCTGGCTCAGTGCTAGGGAATCATGGGAACTGTAATTGTGGCACTAGAGCTCTCTGACAGAGAAGGCTCAATGTCTCAGAAAAAAATACAGTTCCCATGATTCCCTAGCACTGAGCCAGGGCAGTGCCTCAATTTAATGTGCACTATTTCTGGCAGTCTGCTTAGGCCTTAAA